CTTCCTTCCTTCCTTCCTTCCTTCCTTCCTTCCTTCCTTCCATTCAAGAAGAGGACTTTCTTTCCTCTTCAGCATCACCATTCCCTGCAATATGCTGTAATTTCCTGCAGCTCTCTCTGGAGATTTAAAAAGATGCTTCAGGTGACAGCATTATTCATACACCTGGGAGTTCTGCTACAGAGGTAAAAGAGAAATTGTCATTATCCCTGAGGCTCCTGTAGGTTCTCCTTTGAGCAATCGGCAGGAAGAAGAGCACAATGCTGGGAAGACAGCATGAAATGCCAACTCCTGTCTCTAGAAAGAGAGAGCCAGTTGGTAACATAGCTTCTAATGGTTCCCTCTGCCCATGAAAAAGACAGAGTTCACTGCCAGTGGACAATTTTTTTTTTTTTTTAAGACAGAGCAAGCACAATTTGAGTGGTGGTGGAGGGGCTGGGGGAGAGGGAGAAAGAGAATCTTAAGCAGGCTCCATGCCCAGTGCTGAGACCAACAAGGGGCTCGATCCCACAACCCTGAGATCATGACCTGAGCCGAAATCGAGTTGGATGCTTAACCCACTGAGCCACCCAGGCACCCCTGTGCCAGTGGACATTTTTAAACTATACTCTTTACACACCTGAAAAGCCAGTGTGGCTAAATTCTGATAGACTCTGAATATCTGACTTGGGCTTGAGGGGGATGAAAACAAGATCTAGTTCAATGGCTCTCAGTCAGGGGCAATTTTGCATCCCTCCCTCTGGGACATTTGTCAGTGTCTGGAGAAATTTTTGGTTGTCACAACTGGGGGGGTGGTGTGCTACTGGCATCTAGTGGGTAGAGGCCAGGGATGCTGCTCAACATCCTACAATCCCCAGGACAGTCTCCACAAAAAATGACTCTTCTGCCTAAAATGTCATGCAAGTTGATGAACCCTGGTCTAATTAAATGCTACACTCTGCTCTTCCACTCACAAGACTTCTGTGGGGGGAAAATTTCCTCCCTCTTGATATTTTCTCCCCAAAAGGCAGATTGGGGAAAAATGCAACAATCATTCCATGATGGTTTTTGGGCACTTACGAAAGAGCTATAATGAACTTAACATCCTTTGAGAAAGAACTGGAATGCCATTTTCTATTATCTTCACCTACCTTTTTATGATTTATCATAAAAATGAGGAATAGTAATTTTCATCATAAACTATTTATATTTTGGTTCTCTGGCTTTTGGTTTTATCATTTCATTTAAATTAGAGACTCCTTTGTTGGGGCAAAGACTTTCTTTGGCATATTACAAAAATTCCCACCACAATCACCGCAAGGTGGAATACTGATGCCTCCCTTGGGCCAGGCAATGCTACAAAATCTCTCATGTGACAGGATATTTCCCCTTCTTCCTCTTTTCTCGATTAGACTGCAAGCTCTATCAGGAA